TAGATCTTCATTTGTATGTTAGGGCCCTTTTATCCCTAGCTGCTTTCAGAATTCTCTCTTTCTCCTTATATTTTGCCAGTTTCAGTATGATATGTCATGCAGAAGATCGATTCAAATTGTGTCTGAGGGGAGTTCTCTGTGCCTCTTGGATTTCAGTGTCTATTTCCTTCCCCAGATTGGGGAAGTTCTCGGCTGTAATTTGTTCAAGTACCACTTCCACCCCTTTCTCTCGCCCTTCTTCTGGAATTCCTATGATACGGATAGTGTTCTGTTTGACTGCATCACTCAGTTCTCAAATTCTCCTTTCGTGCCCCTGAATCAATTTATGTCTCTTTTTCTTGGCTTCCTCTTTTTCTATAATTGTGTTTTCTAATTCCCCTATTCTCCTCTCTGCCTCTTCAATCCGTGCAGTGGCCACCTCCATTTTATTATGCACCTCATTGATAGCATTTTTTTATTTCATCACAACTGTTTTTAAGGTCCATAAACTTTGTAGCAATAGCATCTCAGGTGTGTTCCATGCCTTTTTCAAGCCCAGCGATTAATTTTATGACTATTGTTCTAAATTATTGGTCAGTTATGTTGCTAATAGCTGTTTTGAGCAATTCTTTAGCTGTCACTTCTTCCTGGAACTTCTTGAAAGGAGAGTTCTTCCGTTTCATCATTTTGGCTAGCTTTCTGTCCCTTGTCAGTTTTAAAAGCTTGTTAGGCGCTCTGTACCTGCGAGTACTGCCGTATTAATGGAGGCTCATTGACTGTCTAGGGCATGTCCATTCAGGAAGTGTTCTTTTAGTGGTGTCCCTTGGTCTCTCTTTTTGTGCCTTTGTTTGTTTTCTTTCCCTACTCATCGTGAAATTTGGGACTCTTCACCATGTGTACTTTGGCTTGTTTCTTGAGTTAGCCCTGGAAAGGAAATCAGACAGACAAACAAACAGGGATCAAAAGCACGCAAATGCGCAAATAAATGAAACAAACAAGCAAACCAAAAGGGAAAACAAAAACAAAAACAAGAAAAGACAAAGGAAAGGCTAAAGGCATAAAACCAGAAATCCCAGCTACAAGTAGAGAGCAGGGTGGAGGCAGTGCTGATGGAAGAGCATATACAAAGAGAGAAATGACAGGGGTAGGGAGAAAAGGAAATTGAACATTGACCAGGCATAGAGATAAAAAGTCTTAATCCAGAGAGAGAAAAAGGAGAATATGGCAGGAGGTGAGGAGAAAAAAAGAAAAAAAACGAAGATAATGTTAGCCAGAGAAAATATATAGTCTGATTATTTCAGAGAGAGGGAAAGGAAGATAAGGATGGGTGTGTAGACCATGCATCAAGAGGATGGATTATATATGCCTGTTTAAGCAAACCTATAACCAGAATATCTGATCAAGAGGAGGGGAGAGATAAGAATGAGATAAGGGAGAATACATCTGAATAGCAAGATTTGATCTAGAGTTAATCACGGCAATGAGTCAGTGTTGATCTTGGAAGAGGGCCTGTTTCTGCAGCACATATCCGGGCTCTGGTAACAAAGCAGCTACCTAGAGCAGATGGGCATGGTTTGGCATAGGCAGGTCTTGCCTCCACTGTAGATCCCACAGGCCACTCCCTGAGGCCTCGCCTTGGTGGTTGTGGGGAGAAAAATGGCAACCCCCCAGTCCTTTCTCGAACCATGTGTTGCAAATCACTCTTTTGGGTCCGATCTCACTGTGCCACGGGCGTGGCCAAGGGGGCCCATGTTCTATGTCCCTCACCCAGCCTCGTTTCCAGATCTTACTCCGTGTGTATTAATGATACTGAGATACTGCCTGACATGTAATCCCACAAGCTGGGGTGCTTCCTAGCAGGCGATCAAGTAGGGGACTGGTTCCTCCTGATGCCAACTACGACTGCATCCCTTGCGTACTGTCTATACCGGAGGGAATTTCTGGGACTGGGGCGCCCAGCCCAAAGAAATCTCTGCAGTTAGAGATTGGCTCTCTCTCTGAAAGTCCTGCGGTTAGAGATGGGATGATAGGATCCTTCTCCATCCTGGGCCGAGGTTTTACTCTTCTCCAGGTACAGTTCTAAAATTTCCTCACTGTTCTTTCTCTTCCCTTTGTCTCTCCACAGAGGGGGGCTCCCTCCCCTCCGTGGCTCCGTGTCCTGGCTATGTTTTTATCTTCCCCATTTTTCAATCACGCACCTTTGAGGCTGTCTTCTTAGTAGATTCCATCTCTTTTCCTCCCAGACTCTTGCAGTTCAGAGTCCTTTGACTTCAGCCCTTCTTTGTTTGAGAGATGCAGGCAAGAAGTGTGGAACTCCCTATTTCTCTGCCATCCCCCCTCAGATAAATGTTTTAACAAATTTTTTAAAAAAGTGAAATGTCTGGGTCAAAGAATAAGAATGACTTTTTTTCTAAAGAGAGAGAGAGAGAGGAGAGAGAGAATGTGCACATGCACATGCGGGGAAGGGGTAGAGGGGAAGAGAGAATCCTAAGCAGGCTCCACACTGTTAGCCCAGAGCCTGACATGAGACTCAGACTCAGGAACTGTGAGATCATAACTTGAGCCAAAATCAAGAGTTGGCCACTCAACCAACTAAGCCACCCAGGTGCCCCAAGAATGACTTTTGAATGGTTGGGCATAGTGTAGGAAATTAGACACTCCTGCACTGTTAGTGGAGAAATATATTGGTGTAAATATCCTTAGGAAATTGTCTCTTACAATTTAAAATATTGATGGACTTCTTCTGGGAAACCGTAGAGCATGGACTCAAATCTTGAAACTGCCCTAAATCTCAAGCCATGCTTCACTGGGTTATTTGGCCTCCACAATTAGAAATACCTTGTATACAGAATACTAGTACTTTAAGTTTGAAAATCAATTCAAATATTAAAATGCAAAGATGTAAATAAAACCTCATTTTTTAATGTTTGTTCATTTTTGAGAGACAGGGTGTGATCAGGGGAAGAATAGAGAGAGAAGGAGACACAGAATCCAAAGCAGGGTCCAGGTTCTGAGCTGTCAGCACAGAGCCCGACACAGGGCTCAAACTCACGAACTGTGAGATCACCTGAGCTGAAGTCAGACACTTAACCGATTGAGCTACCCAGGTGTCCCCCACCCCCCAAAAAAAGAAAAAAAAAAAAACCTTAAAGGGCATATAAAATGAAGTAGCAGGGGCGCCTGGGTGGCTCGGTCGGCAGAGCTTCTGACCCTTGATTTTGGTTCAGAGCATGATCTCACGGTCCCAGAATCAAGCCCTGTGTCAGGCTCTGTGCTGAGCGTGGAGCCTGCTTGGGATCCTCTCTTTCTAAAAAATAAACAAACATTAAAAAAATACAAAAAGCAAAATTTGGCCGTATATAATACATAATACATGAAAAGAAAATGTACATTAGGGTCCAGTTTTCTGGGGCAATGTATTTTCCAACATGATTTGAAATGTATATATATGTAATCTAATTATACAAATGTAAAGCAGATAATATTAACGCATGCCCATGCGCTTGCTCACTCGCGCTCTCTCTCTCTCTTGCTTTCCTCTGAGATAAGGACAATAATACTGTTACAAAACTGAGTGCCCACAGACATGCATATAGGTCCAGAACATTCTTCCTACACATACTAGACACCCAGAAATCTATATCTGCCAGATATAAGGAAAGCCTCTCCTCATTTCTATCACCAGTTTGCAAAAGCCTCCCTTTCCTAAGATCAGAAAAGCAGTAGATCTAGCATTAATCAAGAGGGGGATAATTATCTCTATTTCTAATTGCATATAATGAAAAATACTAATTTTGTAAGAGAAGAATTCAATAACATGCTAATTTTACAAGCAGGTTATGAAACAGTTCTGCAACCCATTGTTTTTCTAGAATAAAGAGATGTGGGTAGAAATGGTTGAGATGTATGGATTTTCAAAAGTGGCTTTGTTGATCCCAAATCTACATTGTTGTCTACATTCATTTAACAAATACTAATTAAGCCCCATTATATGCCAGACTCTGTCAGCTCAAAGTGACTCTTAACCTGCAAACTTTGTGGTCTGAACAGATTTCTCCAGCTAGTTCAAGACAGATATCTTCACTTAGTCCAAGGCACCTGGACACTTCCCCTGTCCCCAACCCCCAAGCAGGAGTGACTGGCTCCTTGTCACAGACCATCATCCCTGGTCTCCTCACAGAAATCTGTCCTTGAGACCTGAAAATTCACCATTGAAATAGAACCAGCACATGGGGCGCCTGGGTGGCTCAGTCTGTTAAGCGTCCGACGTTGGCTCAGGTCATGATCTCACGGTTCATGGGTTCCAGCCCCGCGTCGGGCTCTGTGCTGACAGCTACCTCAGAGCGTGGAGCCTGTTTTGGATTCTGTGTCTCCCTCTCTCTCTCTGACCACTCCCTGCTCATGCGCTCTGTCTCTCTCTCTCTCAGAAATAAATAAAACGTTTAAAAATAAATAAATAAATACATAAATATGCAAATACATAAATACATAAATAAATAAAGGAATTAAAAAAAATAAATAGAACCAGCACAGTAGGTGGAGGAACCCTTAGGATGTTGAGGCAGACCAAGAGTGAGGACACAATTTCTGTTCTGCCACTGACTTGGCTGAGAAATCCTAGGAAATGGACCTAACCCCTGTGAGCCGAATATTCATGGTCTCACAGGGACTGTGGAGACAGTCATCATGGGGTTTCTGTGAGGAGGTCAAAGAAATCTAATGAGTCTTCCCAACACTGAGCAACTGTTGGCTGCTGCAGGGCAAGTGTTGGTTTACTTCTCATCTTGTTCTTTCCCTACCATAATGCCATTGCAATGTGCTCAGTGGCCTAACGATGATGTAGACAGAATTCCAAGCTGTCACGGGAAGTAGCCATGTGAACACACATGATGTCATAAAGGATACTCATGACCGTTTCTCCGTGGGAGGATCAGTTGGTACTTGGTGGCGGTTGGGGGTAACTCAGGCAGCCTGGGTGAGAGGCACCAGCTGATTTGCCATACTCCTGTTATTGCCTTTGATTCTGGCAGAACGACGGCAAGACAGGGATCGTGCTGAGATGCAAACCTTCAGTAAGTGAATGTGCGTGTGTGCGTGTGTGTGTGCATGTCGTCCCTCTGGTTTTTTAATCACGTGCCCACTCTCCTGTGAGAGTCCCAAAACAAGTCTATGCCTAAGATTGCTCTGGTCTGAATCACCTTGATGAGGGAGGCCTCTGTCCCTGTTTAGGCACCCAACTTAGCCGGTTGGTCTGGGGATTGCTGTCGTTGTTAGCTAGCTCACTTTTACACTTTCCCCTTGCCAACGTTATTTCTGAAGTAATGTCAGTTCTCAAAAATGACTCTGATGCCTCCATACACCATATGTTGACCACAGGCCCTCATTCCTCCTTTTAATAGTTGAGTTTTTCCTTTCATTGGTGGATTTTCAGGAAAACCAGTTGGTTTCCTGCCATTCTCCAAACTTCATTAATAAGGTTCCTCTTTGTCGTTGTTATTGTTGTTTAGTATCACTATGAACTCATGGCTTTTTAACATGTTGGTGGCTTGAAACTATTGTTACATTGTTTTGAGCAGCAGACTGAAGTGATTTGACTTATGTTCTGCTGCTGGGATGAAAACAGATGGTAAGGAAGGGAGCAAGGATGAAAGTAGAGGGGCCAGCTAGAAGTCAGTAGAATCCAGAAGATAGATGTTGGTGTCTTGGCCAAGGTGGTGGTAATAATGGTGATGGTAAGAAGTGGCTAGATTCTGGATGTACTGGAGAGATGGAGTGAGAGAATTTCCTGATGAGTTAGATGTGGAGTGTGAGAGAAAGAGGGAGCACTCCAGGCTGCTTTCAAGTTTTGAGGCCTGAGCCATAGCATTTATGGGTCGAATGCTCTATCCATGTTTAATTCCACTTCCGGTGCCACACAGGAAAAGTCCCAAAGGCTGTGAGTAGCAGGATTGTCCTGACAGCAAGGCCACACAGTGAAAGCAATGAATCCCCAGAGGAGTTAATTTGAGGCCTGGTCATAATCACTACACCATTGAGCAATCAGCAGTGAACAGATTTTTACTCATAAGCGTGCCCTGAGACAGCATGCAGTAATTGAGGTACAAAATGTACAGCACACAAACCGAGAGAGCCTGAGATATTAGAATCCAAAAGGAAGCTGGTTTCTGCCAGTCTGGTTACCTTAATCCTCCCCCTACTGCCCACCCAAACCACTAGTATTATTATCTGTTGGTACACTGTTTCAGTTGAACGTGGTAAAAATAAAATACCCTTAGTGAGTCCAGTTTGGGAGAGAGAATTGGGACTCTTCTGTAGATGCCAGGAAACCCCCAAATCTTTCCACATGATGAATTATATGTGTTGGCAGGGAGAACTTGTGGGGGGAGGGGGAAGGGTGAACATCAATACAATGACTAGGGGTAAATACAGGGTGAAATACCACGAAAACATGGTCTAAGTATACCTGTGGCTACAATGTCCAAGAAAGTAGGCTTCAGAGCAAAGACAATTGATAAGAGACAGAAAGAGGTGTTACATGATGATAAAAGGATCCACCAGGGAGTCATCATGGCCCTATATGTGTACGCACCAAACAACAGAGCCTCAAAGTACACGTAGCAAAGACTGATAGAGCTGAAAGAAGAAATAACCATATACATAATTATAGTTGGGGCCTTCAACTCCCTCCCCCCCCCCGAGCAAGGGATAAAATTACTAGAGGCAAAACCAACAAGGATATAGGACATCTAAATAACATAATAACTTAACAGGATCTACATGATGTAAATAGAGCACTCCACCCAACGACAGCAGAGTGCATTTTCCCCCTAATATTGATGTAACATTCATCAAGCTAGGTCATCTCCTAGACCACCAAACAATCCTCAACAAATTTTAGAAGAATTGAAATCACACAGAGAACATTCTCTGGCTATAAAGGACCTAAATTGGAAATCAATAATAGAAAGAATAAAGAAGAATCCCTACACACTTGGAAATGGTAGTTGACTTATCATTCCAGTGTGTCATTCGGATCCTTGTTATAGAGGAGCTGCTTTTAGGAAAAGTTGTCTCCTCAGCTGAAAGGCATTTCAGTCTGGGCAAAAAGAAAGCTCACTCTGGATATTTCTTTTTTTTTTTTTTTTTTTTTTTGT